TTTTACTAAAATATGACATCTTTTAAAATAAATACCTAACCTCTACTTTTACTTTACGAATAAGTTGTAAAACTTATACGAAATGTTCATTTTTAGCGGGTTTTTTTTGACCAAGTCATACTTTTTTGGAAGATATTTTTCTATTTCTATTTTTTTTTTTTTAACGAAAGGGGGGAAATTATTCTTTTCATCGTGTTATATTCACTCGTCTGCACAGATGAGTCAAATACGCATGCGCCGACGGATTACTTAAATGCTACCAAAGCGACATTCCCTGAAATACGAAGAATCACTGTTTGACTATTCTCGGGAGTTAACATACACACTTGTATTATCCAAATAGCTGTCTTTGGAGTGGTCCATCAGCTTTATTCCATTATTGCTACGCCATCAATGCACACACCGAGTTTCATGTTGGTGTTTACCTGTGCGTTACCAGGGTTTCTGCACGTGGCTATTATCTTTCCAGGTGAAAACTGTCCACTTGCCAGACTGTCCACTAACTGCAGCCCGAGGCCCCGGCTGGCTCCAGTAATCAGCACAGAGCCGCATTTTTTAAAATTCACAGCAGCACTCATGACGGACTGTATATGTTCCTGTGCGCGAGCTCTTAGATAATCTGCAGGCGTCACGCGACTCCTCCAGCAGGGGGAAGGCTTGCTCTACTGGGGCTTGCGCCTCTTCTTCTTCGTCTAGTTTCATTAAATTTCCATCCTTGTAAGTTTCATTACTGCCTCCTTCTGGTTTTAGTTCTTCATTGCAGCCCACTGTTGTCACATAATTGCTGCTGTTACTTCAATTGCTCTAAAAACTTAAATATGCAAAAAGTCACGCATGACTCCACTCTCTTCTCTTCTCTTCTCTTCTCTGCCCACAGTTTTTGGACACTGGATATTTCTCTAAACCTGTAAGTTACTGTAATTATTTGTAAACTTTTAATGACTGGCTATTTTCTACTCTACCCCAGTTCTTCAACATCACCTCAAATCAGCAGTTAGACAGCTGAAACTTGGACACAGTTTGGTGTTCTGCCAGGACAAGCTCTCTGACATTGAGCTTTCGGGACCATGACCTCAAATCATTTTAAAAATTTGTGGGCTATACTCTAAACCTGTTTTCTTCTCAGGAAACCACAAAGTATAAAAGCACTGCAACAGTTGTGCCAAGAGGAGTGCTCAAATATTCAGCCAGAACTATACCAGAAGCTTGCTGGTGGCTACCAAAACTGTCTGGTAAAATGAATGGCTGCTTTAACCATGGCCATTGCTAACAGCTAAAATGTAGCTTTAAATTACTGTCACATGCTGCAGTGCAACTAAGAACTAACCCAACAACAACAGTACCAACCTCATTTTGACTAGAGACCGGCCCACCAGGTATTATAGAAAAAAACATAAATCTTTTGAATGAAAACAAACGCTGTTGTCACAGTGATGTACACTGTCTTGTTGGTATATATGTATCAGTCTAATAAACTTAAACCTACACCATCCTCCCTATTCTGGTATTCTAAACAGTACCCGAAAGTAGACTGCTTGGTCGAGTTAACCTCCTGAACTATCTACAACACATGGTGAAAACCTAAAATTAAGACAGAGAAGACTAGAGGTGAGACATGATCATTACTGATTACTGATGACAGATTTAGATAT